AAATAGCAAAAACTATTTTTTTTGTTTTTGTTTTTAGGTTTGGCATTAAGTACTTGTAATATAGGAAAATGCGAATGTCGGCATGTGGTATGTGCGTTGCATACATCCGTTCTTTAATTATTTACATCCTTAAGTAGTGTAGTGTATAGTAGCTTGTGTATATACAAGCAATTTTATTTACTAACCACACGCCTTGCCAAATATATAAATTACATGCATACATACATACGTCCATAGATATGCGTATGTAATCAATATATTCAAATGCCGGGTTGCGTTTATTACCAGGTGTGGTGGTAAGGTAAACACAAAAAAAACAAATAACAAAAAAAATTGCTATAAAATTTAAACTGCTTAATTGAGCTACAAGGTGTGGTAAGGTATGTATGCGAAACTGCTATAAAATGTTGAATAATGACGTTGCAGCAAATGGTGGCATGGTAGAGAGCAAATATATTGTATATAACAGTTTTGCTTAAGGACAAATGGTTTTTTTTATAGATTTTAAATGCGAAATTATAAAAATAAAATATTTTTTATTGATTAGGAATAAAATTGGCGAAAAAAAGAATTAGGTCAAAGAAGAACTATCTATTTCATTGCGATTGCTTGAAAGATAGAGTTGTATAGATATTATAGAAAGATTACTAAAGCATTTATTTGTGGCTTATTTATAGAGGTTGGGGAAAAGATCACTATCACTCCACTTTCTATATAAACAAACATATATGAATGTGTATATTAATTAAACTGTTGTTAAATCTTATTTGTAATACACTGGTCTAATAGGCCTTAATAGATCCTTATGAGCGTTGTTATATTCTAAACTAAATTCTATTATAATTAATCTGAGGAACTGTAAAAAAACTTCGAGAATAATTTTTTTTTAGTATTGCCTTTCATGACACAATGCAGGCTACATTGTGTTATTATTGTGATTTCAGAAGAAATCCAATTTAAGCAGCTGCAGCTATAAGTTAGGTTAAGTTGAAGTGGCGTCCTTTTTTCCAAAGCCCATATCAGCTCAAATAATGTCCCGTTGTATTAACAAATATTACCAATGTTCAGAGGAATTACCGAAAGGACTGCAGTGGTGAGCGTACGAATAGCATTGAAATGCATGACTCAAACTTGATCAAATCTCAAACTGTACAGGATGACAGCTTTGTCAGGTCGGTAAGAATAGCTACCCTAAAGATTTTTATCTTTTCCTAGCGAATAATAGAAATTAGGTAAAGTACAGTATTCTCCTTATCCGCAAACTCACAATCACAACAAAAGTCTTAATACACTACATCCAGTCTCATAGGAGGTCACCCTAGTATGCAGTGGCCCATCAGCCTATACCGTAGAGCTGAGCAGTTGACGTTTTAGTTGAAACTGCTGACTAGTATATTTCTTGTCCAGCTTGGATCAGATCGAACTTGAAATTTGACATGAATTTTTATTAAAAGTTTCAACATTTTAGCTGCTTCAGTTTATATTTCTCAGTCATTTTTGTTTAACTGCTAGGTTGGCCATTGCAAGAGCTATATGAATATCCGAATTTCCGAAAGATGACTTAGATTAAAGCTGAAATAATGAAAATAAAACAAAAATTTGTATAAAATACGTTTATTTTTATTTATAACAATTGTTAAAATAATTGTCCCAATATAATACAGTAATATCCGAGAAATATATGTCAGTACTTGCTTTGGTAAGCTTATCAACTCTATAGTTATTCGATATTTCCCTGTGTCCCGATACTCATATAGCCTGGACACACATGCTTAGATAGATTTGATAGCAGCTAAGTTCTTAGCAGTCTGACAATGCCGGGCTTCACTTTACGAACTAGCTAGGGGTATCAGTGTCTAGCTCACATATTAAGAATAAGCTGTAGCTATACAGATCACAAGATATTTGATAGGAGCTTGACTGTCCGAAAAAATTGCGGTGCTTATATCGGAGAGGTGCAACTATAACAAAACCATACAGTGGTCATTTACAAATCAAAACTGTTAAAAATAACAATTCTTAAACTTCAAGGTCTCACTGAAAATTTATTTGGATACGAGTATAACGTAGCGTCCTTTGGATTTTAATATTAGGTTTCTAACAGCAATCATAATACTCCATTTAAGGTGCCAATATCATTGAAATAGAAGAGGGTAAAAGGTTAAATATGTGAAAAGTTTACTTAGTTCCCTTTAAATAATCAACCTCGTTGAGATAGGAGAGATTTGTAGACTAAATTTTTAGCATATTAACTTTATTAGCTTCAATAATATATATATGAATGCATAAGATGGACAATTGTGGCTGGTTTAACTTGTATTAAGAATGACTAACTAGAAATAATGTTAGTAACTAGAAATAATATTAGGAAAAATATTAATGTACATATTTATATATTAAAAATTTTTTCTTTACTCCAACTTTGACAATTAAGAACTTGTCCGCATAAAAATACCGGCTTCTGTTCTAAATCCACTATTTTCAACGTTGTAGAAAGTCGCATTTTCCATATTTGCTTAAACCAGTAAGTGTACCTGTACCTGATACACATATTACTTGCATATTTAAAATATTTTTAGAATTTTTAATTGGTTTTTATATCATATGCATAAAAAGACAACGTTAATATACGTACATATTGTAATATGCATACATATGTTTATAAAAATTATATGTTGAGTGTTTCTTCTGCAGCTGAGCACAGTCGCTGGTATGATGAGATTGCATTAAGTGAGAATAAACCGCATTACAATATGAGACCAGTTCTATGTATTTACTTATGATTAATAAAGATCAAAAATAGTAAATGCATTTATTATTTTTGTAAAGATATGTACATGTATTTTAGCCAGTGTGATGAGATAACACTTAAGCGAGAAAAGCTGCATTAAAAAATGAGAACAGTTCTATGTATTCACTTATGGTTAGTAAAGATATATTGTATATTGGATGAGAACGGTTTTGTTTCAGGTTAAATATGTTTAAGTCCGCATGAGAGTACTTATAGAGAATTCTTCAGAACTTTCTTCAAAACAGAATGACAGAGACGCAACAACAGAGTACATTCTAAAATCAGTTTTATATATTTTTTTAGTAAGTAGTTCAGTGGCCTTCTATTAATAAAATATAGAGCCGATTGTATATTATAATGATTACGAGTACTTCCAGTCGAGCTGTATAAAATGGATAATTTTTAATAATTATAGTGGACAACAGATGTAAAAGTATTGTATGTGCAGACCTATAATTGTAGTTGAATTTTGTAACAATTGGTATAGGCATATACTGATAGGGAGAGAGGGGATAGGTAATCCATTTATCTATATTCAATTTTTCTTTGGTGAAGAAAATAAATATTATTCATAATCCGTCTATAAATTCATTATTAATTAATATATATGTACATATATATATGTTACCGTGTATAAAAAACGGAACCTTATACATATATTAGATCAATATATAGCTTCCACATCCCAGTAACTTTTGGTCACGCCCACGACAATGCCATAAAACAGGATTTATATATCCTTTTTTTTTTCAATAAATGTATAAATATATTAAATATTACGTTTGTATCGTAATTTTATTTTTTGCAGTGTTGAAATGAGATAATATTAAATTGTATTATGAGTCTTAAAGTACCGCTAAGAAAGAGAGAAATACAGCAGGCAACTTGTATCCATAGCCTTTTAACGTTATTACCAGCCATTAAGATTCAACATTATAAGTGGTCCCTAATTTTGCAGAATGATAACAAAGATTTTTAATCTTCCATTGATCAAAAATTATCATTCATGGTAAAGGTGATATGCGCATTCTCCCTTCTCTTCAGAGCTACAACCATAACAAATGGCATTGCAGGATAGACCCAGTCTTAGTATGCTAAATTCCTGATTTTGTCGGTAAGAAGTGGTACTCCAAAGATTTTTTATTTTTTATTATCCGAAGATACATAATTGACAAAAAAAGGTAAAACACGGATTCATTTTTGTCTTCAGAGTCACAATCACAGCAAATGTTATGACAAATGACTTAGGACGTGTGCGAGTTAGGCTAAGTTGATGCTAAACCAAATGGGAGATTTTTTGGGATTTTTTGCACTGCACACATTTTGCCATTTATCAACACGTATCGACACATCAAGATATTATCGACACAACTTAGAATTTCCCTCATTTAGAACGCAACTTAGCCTAACTCGCACACGACCTTAATATCATAGCTTATCATTCTAGTACGTGGTGAGCACCGATATTGCAGTATTGAAGTTTCCGCTTTAGTTGAACCAACTGTCTGATAAGTTTCTTGTTCAGTTTGTACCAGCTGGATGAGATCTGTGAGAAATTTTCATAAAGAGTTTTAAAACTTAGATACTAAATCCATCTAAACTGTATACAATATATTTATTTATTTATTTATTAATTTATTTATTAGTGAGTTAATATTAAAATTAATTTTAATGTTAACTAAGAATAAGAAAGTGGACTGCTAGGACCATCGTCCAGATATATTACTCGATCTGACAGGAATTTTCATCAAGAGTCTTATTTAGACTACTAAATTCTATTTACCAGCTGCACTATTTATTTTTTACTGCATTTAGTTTTAATTATTATAATTAACCAATATTATATAGTAAATAACAATATTGAGAAGAGTTCTATGTAATAATGAAAGATATTGATTTGCTGTATTTATATGCGAAAGAAATCCGATTATAAAAATAAAAGTTGTATTTTACTTATATATGAAAACAGTAAAAAAAACTAATATTTAAAATAAATAATATATATAAAAATATATATACAGCCCGAATTAATGCGGAAAAAGCTGCAGCAGATTATGTTCAGGGTTCTGTATATTTATGATGAGTAAAGATGCATATGGGAT